CTCTGTGTCAAGGATGGCGTCTTTCACTGACAATTCCAGCAAAGCATCTGGGAATGTACTAAGTTAAGGAGAGATACTGGAATTTATAATGAATACTGTGAGAGGACGCAAAATAAAGTATGCTTAACAAGATCTCCCTGCTACTCCGACCAAGCTGCGAGAACAGGGTCATTCAAAAATAGCAAGCAAAATTTGTAGAATATTCTTACAGATATGAAGGAGCATAAATTGAAAAAATAGGAAATTCTATTTAAAAAATTCTACTGGACGGCCTTGATTGCGTTGTCAACAATACTAGTGTGGCATGCGATGCCCAACTTCCTAATGAGGATTTGCTGTCAGCTTAAAGAAACAAATTCATAAAGTAATTTAACTTAAAGGTAGATATTTTAGGTTGATGATTCACAATTCGAAAGGACTAATCCCACAGGCACCGAAATAAGATGGAGAAAGATATCTATTTAAAAAGACATATCAGGTGCCTCAACTCAAAAAATTTAGCTAAAGGGTAAGACATGAGAAAATGGTCTGCAGGGGAGATGAACCAACCTGGAGTTATCGATTGAGCTAGCCCCTTCAGAAGTCTCGTCAAGCCGAACATCTATATCGCCTGCCATCTGGAAAATATTGGAAATATGAGGATGACTGATAAAAATTGTGCATCATTATTAGTTTCTGTAAAGTTAACGACCCATGATCGAAATCATTACTCTTAAAAGTATTAGTCCAGATATCTGTCCCAGAAATCCATAATTGATTCTTGTTGTGTAAGGACCATATAATAATGGCAGCAACCTTGATTTTAATTGATTAAATCCAGCCAGTCTCATTCATTATACGATTAAATTTAGTTAAAAAATAAGTTTCTGTTCGCTCAAATGATGAAAATTAGAAAGAAGCGGCGATGGCTGGCTGTACGAAGAACAAGCCCAAGTATTTAGGAAGAAGATAAAATTCAAAATCATTGTTTTACCGGTGCGCGTGTAGGAGCATCAATCCAGGCGCAAAGAGCACGTGACAATTCACGAGTGACTCGATTATGCAGTTCGTTTGAAGGTGTAGTGTAACTGTTGAAAAGAGTAAAATAAAAGTAAGCCTATCATTTTAAAGAGAAGAAACATGGAGTAAAGTTATGCCAATGTTAAAAGAATCAGGAATCTATCGTTCAAAGCTTACAATAAATTAAGGACTCTAGATTAGGCTGGGGCAAAAAAGCAAACTATCCAAAAAGGATTTTACATGAAGATATGAGGACCAAGATGTTGTGGTCTCTGGTATGGTCACAGTCTCCTTTTGATTTATAGAAGTGGGTTGACCTCGTTGTCACAACTTGTCAGGGCGACTCAGTGATGATGCCAACTACGATGCCGGCAAAACGTTTGAGAATGTACCAAGTCCACTGTCTGATGCTGGGAATCATGACAACTA